AGCGTAACAGAAGGGAAGGAACTGACTTGGGCAAATGAAATTCATTGGTCATGGCTTTTCTGACTAAATCACATCAACTTTACACGTACGTGTTTCAGCACCCTACCGTACGTGCTACTACATTCAAGTGCTATCAATTTGGCACGGTAAATAAATTCCAGTCAGTCTAACTTCGTTTCTGATGTAACTGCATGCAGGACATAATCATTGGTATTGTTCTTTCCTACAATGACGCGAACCTAAGAGTCTTGGAAAATGTTCTTCTGTCGTCGAGCACAAAGGAGAACTATTTAACCAATTTAAAGGTGGAAACCATCCAGTCAGTGGATGGTTGGTGCCCCGATTGTAGCCCTTATCACTAGCAATAACAGGACGCACTCTCGCGTGCCAATGATTGCATGGTTCCTAGGCGTTCTACCGTGAGCACTGCCGTTGTACTAATACTATTATGGAACCAGGTCCTTGGATCACCATGAACGTACTACCTTCTGTGCCCTCCAGGAATACAGAGTAGGTTACGTACACGGTGTCAGTTGCATGTCCTAATCAGAGCTAATGTCCATTGTTCACTCACTGGACAGCACTGGCAATGTTCGGGGTAATCGATCGCACCAGGACTCAAAATCGTCCAAAATTGACTCGCCTTAACTATATTTCGACTTTTATTATCACTTCGTATTTCGTCAAACTAACACGCGGAATAACGATAAGTATCGCACTGAAAGGCGTGTTACGATCCTACACTCGAATATTATTAAGTTTATATTTTTAACCAAATATTTTCAGCCTGCATTAGAATACGATGGAATATAACGCATGATATGTTAGTAGCATTAGTAGAGTAGTACGTGTAGTTCACCTTGTATCACGTATATTAGTGTGCGACGTTCCACATAAACTGGATATAATTCGCACGCTAGAATACGATAGAACACGTGTGCTGTATTTTCGTGCAGCGACTCTTATGAAATATATTCTTTCTTCAAATTTACTTTAATGCATTTACTTTAATTATTTACTTCAACGCAGCGTGAGATAGCATGAAAATAGAAATAATTTAAAATTAAATTACAGTTAAATAACCGTAATGAAATCAAGTATCAACTGCTTCCATAAATAACGTATTCTAGTTAAGAACCACTCTTCCATCCACCGGTAAATAATAAATAAATAATAATGGAATAAAATGGAAGGAAGGAAAACAACGGCAGCTAATTATAGCTACGAAAAGTGTCGGAAAGTTCTTTAATGTTTAAAAAATAGCCTAGCGGAGTCAGAAATCATGAAAAATGGACAAACTTTGAGGAATATTTTGTCTTGTCACCTCGAAACCACCCTTTTCCACAAGGGCTCTTAATTAATTAGTAAACGAATCAGTAAGACAGAGTTACGACGGAAAACGAAGGAAAATGAGATGAGAGTAAAACAAGAAATATCAGAGAGTCGGAAAGCTCTTAAAAGAAAGAAAGGTGAGAGGCAAAAGCGGGTGAAAACGATGGGGCTAGAAAAGATAAGAGTGGGATTACTTGGCAAACCAAGAGACCTGAAGCCAGTACTGAAGCATCAGCCTCGGGCACTAGTTACACGATGGCTCGGTTCAGGTTCTACTCGTAATTCGCGAGTATATGTGCTTCGAATCTCCTGGCGTTTTCCTAAAAGATCTACGAGCATAAACCAGCACTCTTTATTGCCTACACCGATTCTTCTTCTTTAAATTTTCCCCTCTTTTCACGCATGTTTAATTTCGCTCATACGTACACTTCACATCACGTAATTAAACGCATGCACCTGCGACTGAGCACTATCACTTCGGTATATATTAATCCACAAGAGTTATATGTGTCGTTTAAAATGTCAGTAATACAGAATATCTCGTAATCGCCTAGACACAAAAAATTGACAATTTTTTACTCGGTAAAATAAAAATAAAAGAAAAATTGAAATAAAGTATGTCAAAAAAAAAAAAAAACATACCATCGCATGTTGCCGCTAGTCGTGTCTACATTTTATTTATCGCCTGTTAACCCGCCGTGACTGTGGCCGACGTAATCGCAGAGTCATTAAAGTCATTAAATCACTACAACCCGTACACCTCTATTTCTACACTCTCACCGATCTTTCGTTTATTCTATGCACCTTTTTCATCGTCCCTTTCTTCCCTTCTTAACTTAACGGGTCTTATCGTTAATAATCCCACTTTTGGCAAAGTCCAATATAGAGTAAAACGTAAAGACCATTTTTAATAATGTTGACTTCTATAATTTGATCTTAATTTCAAAATTTTCCTATTAAACATCGTTATACAACAGACCGAATATCTTTCAAGTTTTTGGAGAAAATTATAAACAAGAAATAGAAGTGATTCCTTGTAAAATATAAAACATCGTTGCACAGGAAACAATAAACTAAAGAGTATTTCGTAAAGACTTCACGGGAGCTAGAAGTGTAACTTAGATTAGTGAATGTCGGACAGTTCGAGTGTAATGAACGAATGTGGTCTCCGCAAAAAAAATAATAAAAAAGCTCACCGTCACTTGTGTGCGGTCAGTTACTTTCCATCTTTTACTGTTCTTATTTTACCCTACTGTACCGGTGCAACCTTATTACAACACCAGTTGAATTCCATCAATGAAGGAAACATGAATTTTTAATGAAAAAGCGAGTATTTTTTTATTAAGAATATTCGCAAAATTAGAAACAGATGCCCTATCTTTAAATGAAAGCGCTGTATTAATCTTGCTTGCAAAACATAAACGAAAAATACATAATTTTGCGTTAAACCTACTGGAAAGATCAATCTGTTGGATATATCGTCGCATAAAATAAATAGGAAAAATAAATAACGAAACCGATGTCTCAATTGAAGCGTGACACAAAAGGATATAAAATGTGATGAACCAACATAAATATGAATAACGAGAAATAATATACTCCGATATATAGCTGTAACATTCGTTCTAAATTCACATAACCATTCGCATATCGAGCAATTAAAAATAATATGAGAATTCGATAATTCGTGGATAGATTCAAGAACGATGTTCAACGCTTGTTTTTTATTCCCAATTTTCCACCTTATTCTATATCTAATCTTACATGAAGGAAGTGCCAAATTCATTGGATATACAAGAAAACATTATTCATACACAATATGCAAAAACTATACTTGAAATAATGGTTTTATTTCTTCCTCCATTGTTTTCTGATTATTTCTTCGCCTTCTCTTCAGTGAGGAACATTATTTACACATTATGTACGATATAAAAAAGAACTCGAATAAATGAGTAACAAATAATTAATGGTGTTAACGTTTCAATAAAGCTTATGCTGTTATTTTTTTTTATTTTAATATGACACTAATCAACAGGCTGAACATTCTTGCAGTAGTATTATATTTAATGGTATTTATTTATAATTAGAATTCTATGCTAACTACGGTTGTTAGTACAGAATAACAAGGATCAAATTTTCAATTATAAATCCCATCCAAAGATGAAAGTACTAGGCACAACAAATGATAAACAAATACATTGTATGACCATCATTACATAACATTCTGAAGAGTAAAATGTAAATTTACAGTTGATAAAGAAGAATTTGAACTACACCCACAACGGGTTACTTCACAGTCGGTAATGTAATCTCGGAGATGCCGGTAACACAAGTGTAGAGATGTCGGTACAGACTTACCTTCATTTCTTGCATTTTATATGGTAATAAAGCGGGAAGGTTTATAAACAATCGATAGAAAACAGAAAGAAATATATTTTGATTTTTTATCTTGTCATATTTCGGAACTGCTGAAACTCAAAGTACTATATTCCGTTCATTTTTTTTCTAATTTCATGACATTTCTATATCAAGCTGACAAACGACATCATCAAAATACTGTTTTATAAGCAACAATTTGTTACAATGGGATGAAGAAATCGCCTGTAAGCCCACAGCGACAATGCATTGGATAATGAGAATAAAAATTCGTTCAAATCATTGAACAGGAAGAAACATACGCTTAAAAATAAATCAATATATGTCGCGAATAACACCCAAACGAATATCTTAAAATGTGATAATACTGAAAATGCAACATAATATTGGCTTCTGATTAGCTGATATGCAATAAGAGGCAATATTATGTAATACATATAATATCATACTTGTTAGTACGTATATACCAGGTATCGTATACGCGTTTCTAATTGAAATCAATTTATGAAAGTAATAAACGCAGAATTAAGCAGAGAAAAAGGTATAGAAAAATTATTAAAAGAAAACCATACAATAAATAATTTTTGGCGAACTCTTGATAATTTAGCACTACAAGAATATTAAAAAAGATTTTCAACTAATATGAATTACAAATAATAAAATCATGAGAAAATAATTTCACATTATGTAACAATAATTTTAATCATCAAGATTTCACACCATAATGTATACTGAATAGAATTATAATAAGAAAGATAGATACATTATCCAATAACATTGCACACGAAACCAAACTATAATTGTTATTAATGAATAATGATTCTATAAACAGTAGAAAACTATTACTATATTTTAATACGATTAAAATATTTCGTACAAACAATAAAGATTACTTGTAACGATAATGGAATAATTCATTACGACATTGATCGATACAAATAAATTTAACAATTTTTTAAAATAATACTTTACTAACGAACTAAATCATATTTAAGTTTATAAAGACATTTATATGGACGATTCATTAATAACTATTCAGCTACGTAAGCTTAATACAATACGCGCGAAAATTACGTGTGCTTGTAACAAAATAAATACGTTTGCGTTTCATAAAAGTGTATGTTACTGAATATATAAACGAGAAATAAATGGAAAAGTAAATAAAACTAACCATACGTTGCAATTAAGGTTTGAATGTTTTAGTGCATTCCCTCCTGGGATGACTCTGACGATACGCACCTGTGTTCTTTCTCAATAGTGCGCCTATTTCACCTTATTCTGAAAATAAACATAAAATAAATTAATTTAGTTTAGGGAATTAATAACACGAAAAAATAAGAAATATTTTACTTATATATGTAAAAATGAATTATTATTTCGTTGTATTTTATTCTTACTCATATAAACACAAAAATATATAACGTAAACACGAATTTAAATTATTAAACAGGAAACGAAAATAATATAAAATATTATAAAATTGAGACTATGAACCCTTCTTACGAATGTTATAATACTAACTAAATACAACGTAATTATTGATGATAATTTAATACCAAATATAATTATTTAGGAACATTACGAAATCGATATTTTTCTTTCAGACAATTCGAAAAACATGAAAACAGGGAATTATATAGGTATAAAGTATCATCTTTATATGATAAATAACGATTACAATACACTACGGGCAATACTGAAGGAAAAAGTCAAGAAGAACGATAAAGCAAAAATAAACGACGAATATTGAGACAATATAAATGGTAGCATTGTAAGCTATAAGGAGGTTATATGCTCTGACGCGCTTAGTTGTCATCAGACGCATGCTTGCCTATACACGTTTTAGACAATTTGTATCATTACATCTCAGCTACAGTCAAATAGGACGAAATATGACATTTTAATAATGACTTGAAGTAACAATTCGACACACGATGTAAACAAATTGATTACCCCTCTTGTTTAGAGGGCGACCATGGGAAGATAGAACAAACGATAATGTACAGAATAGGAAAACACTCACCACTGCTTTCGTTCATACACTGATCAATTGAATATTAACTACTTTCCACCCTCACATTGTAAACTGACATACACTGTACCTATTTACTACACACTGACTTAAAAAATTCGTGTAAAACATATAAAAAAGGCAATAATTAGGAAACTGACGAGAAAGTCGCCATAGCGCTTTAGTACTGGGCGGCCATATTGCTCTGTCTCCCCCTCCTGATATTTCGCGGGATTTTATGAAACTGCCAAATCACACAATCATATGAAACAAAATGTACATGTCCCAAATATTTCTCATTCGTTAAAATTTTTATTTATTGATCAAAATTATAAGAGAAAAGGTACGATGAACACCATAATTTCATATAGAAATTAATAGCTAATAAGAATATTGTTATTTTTATTTAAAGTTATACAAAAGTCATCAATTTGAACTTGAATTCTATAAAATATTCATGTAAACTCACTAAAGAGAAGATTAATTTAAATAACACAAAAATGTGCAGAATTGTATAAAAATCACTAACAGATTTTCCTATTATAAATTGTATATACTTGCTATAAAAATAAAATGAAAACTTCTTACTAAACGAATCATACCACTTATAACTATTTATAACTTTACCATCCGTTACATTCAGGATTAATCAGTTTGTCTAATTGCTATTCAATGTAGAATCTGACAAACAGATAATCAAATAGAATCATATACACGTAATCATTGAGTAGCAGTTTATTACAAAATACAACTGAAAAATAAGCTAAATAGCATTCAGAATTTAAATAGTTGATACTTGCAAATAATTTTGACACCTTAAATTAATACAGATTACATTAATTCTTCATATTTATGTCAATAATACATAACCTTAAAATATCAAATTGTTATATATTCTTGCAATAATATAGAGATCGTAAACTCATTACGTATAATATATGTACAAAGAACATTACGAAACATAAGATAAACGTAAAATTCTATTCATGTACATGTAAATGTCGATTCTAATCTGAAATACTATACCTAGTCAAACATGTTGAAGATTCAAATGTGCAAACATCTATATAGATGACAAAATATACAAAGAAAACGCAGATACACTTTAGAATATTTAAAACGTTTCAAAACATTACTTATATAGAAAATAATTGTACTTATAAAAAGCTTTTAAATGATATAGTTCAACATTATCGAAGCACACAAATATAACAAATATTTGCCTAACTTATACCTCTAATATTTATGACTCTTTCATATACCTATATTTTTTCATATCTGATAGTAACCCAATAACACAACAATCGAAGAGACATTATTGTAAATAACCTTTATCACTACAATTACAATCTTTGAAGATACAGCAACAAAGACACTTATCCGTCAAATTATTAATACCTTCATTCAATTATTATGCAAAATGTAGTTTCACTTAAATTTTATACATACATTTATACTTCAATCATAAATATACTTAGAAGTCATATTCTTATAATCAAACACGGTGTCTCACATATTCAATTCCTCAATTTAACATGCAAAAATGTATATGAAAATATATTTCGACATTTATCTCTCATCTTAAAATTTAAATTAAAATTTATACATTCAGCAACGCTATAACCACACACAAACAAGAAAAAATAGTTATTCCCGCCAATTTATAATGTCTTTTATTACGTCACGTGACAACACAATTGTGACGTAATAACAATTAGACCATAATAAATAATATACAATCATATTTAAAAATGCATAAATTATAAAACTTAATAGTAATTAATAGAATAAAATATAAGTGCAAATGCTCAAACATCATTAATAAGCGTAATAAATAATAAATTAATAAATGTTAGATTAAAATAAAATAGTAATTAACGCGTAATAAACACTATTTCTGTCGAATATTATACAATTTCTTTGATATTAATGATAATCAGAAAAATGAAATTACATTATTCTTTTACTTTATAAAGTATTTTTTGTTTTTGCAACAAATCTAACCTGCAATCATAATTTTTGCATGTTCATACAAGTACTTATGTAGTTCAGAAGACAAACATTAGACAATAATATAGAAAGAATATCACTTGTACTACGCAGTAATAACCCAGTTTATTAAAAATACCAGAAATTTTACTCACAATGCAACTACAATACAAATACATATACTTTGAAATTAATAACAAATTATAATTTTCAAAAACTACACTATATCATTGAAAAAGTGCATTTTATAATAAAAATTTTTTTCGATATCAAGGTACTAATTGAATGCATACTTTATACACAGCTTATTAATTAAATATGAATAATAAATTATTAATTCAATAAACATTTAAAACACCTTAGTAATTTTCCTAGAAACATGTATTAATTTCACCAGGATAGTAAAGAAAATCATAAAAAATATAATTACAGAAAATTTATTATACAATTCAGTATATTTTACAAATAAAAGCTTAGAAATTAAACTTGGAGAGTCAATAATTAATAAATTGTTCATTATCATAAATTTTACACTAAACAGAATAAATATATATGTAAATGTGCATAAAGGGCCAATCATGAAACAATTCACTTATTTAACAAAAATATCAATAAAATTGGTACTGGAAGAAAGTTTAGGAAACCTACAGAAGGAAACATAGTCATAAAAGTTAATAAATTAATTCTAAAAATACGTTATATTTTTATTAAAATATTTTACGATTTTATGGATATACGAATGCTATAGCCATCTAGCGGTGAAAGGATGGTACTAACCGTAATGTATCAAAACATAAAAATCAATATGTCCTGGAACGTAGCCGCAATTCTGTGACTCTTGACATTTCAAATTAAAGCTCAGACTTTAAAGAATATTTCACAATTTGTTTTGTTTGGATTTACTGCCTGGTTTTGTGAATTACGAACTTATTATAAAAATGCTTCAATAGGATACTTTTATGGACACACAAATGCTATAGCCATCTAGCGGTGAAAGGGTGGTACTAACCGTAATGTATCAAAATATACAAATTAAAATTTCTTCGATTATAGTCGGAATTCTGAGGCTCTTGAGGTCACAAATAACAATTTAGAAGGTCAAGAACAGGAAAAAGTTGATTTTGTTGTGGTTTATTAACTGATTTCATTATTCGCTATGAAACATTTACAGAAAAGTGAATACTGTTGCCATCTAGCGGTGGTAAGATGGTAGTAACAATAATATATCAAGAAATAAAAATAAAAATTTCTTCAATTATAGTCGGAATTCTGAGGCTTTTGAGGTCGCAAATAACAATTTAGAAGGTCAGAAACAAGAAAATATTGATTTTGTTATGGTTTATGAACTAATTTCATTATTTGCTGTGAAACTTTATAGAAAAGTGAATGCTGTTGCCATCTAGCGGTGGGAAGATGGTAGTAACAGTAATGTATCAAAAGATAATAATTAATATTTTTAGGATTGTAGATTGCATTTTTAGAGTCTTAATGATTCAGGTTAAAGTTCGATAATTAAGCAGCAGCTGACAATAAATTTCACTTTAGTTAATTTTGTGATGGACCAATAAAGAATTATTTGGGTTAATATTCTGTGAAAGTATCGTGTGGCGCCATCTAACGAAGACGAAGAAAATTAATTGTTGAGATACACTATGCTGGTCGGAAGATGTCGCCACTAGGTACTTTGTGTAGGCTTCTCGCAATGCATTAGAGAATATTGAAATTAGGCAATAATTCTCTTCAAAATCAATGTTCACTCTCTTCTGAGATTTTAAGTTCTTATTTATGATCTCAAAGATATCAAAATTCCGACTGCAATCCAAGAAAATTTAATTTTTATATTTTAATATGTTGCAGTTAGTATTACCTTTCGACCGCTAGATGGCCATAGCATTCCTGTATCCATAAGAGTATCGTATACCAACATTTCTACAAAAAGTTCGTAATTCAGAAAATTAAATAGTGAATCGAAACACAACAAATTGCTGGAGTCTAAGCTTTAATTTGAAATGCCAAGAATTTAAAAATTCCATCTACAATTCTAGAAATTTAGATTTTTATATTTTGATACATTGCGATTAGTACCACCCTTTCACCGCTAGATGGCTATAGCATTTGTGTGTCCATAAAATCCTAAAATATTTTAATAAAAAAATAAAGCATTTATAGAATTAATTTGTTAACATTTAGGACTATATTTCCTTCTGTAAGTCCTAAACTTTCTTCCAGTATCAATTTTATTGATATTTTTGTTTAATTTTCATTATAGGCCCCTTATGTACATATGTATATGTATGGATACTGTGTAGTGTCAAATTTATGGTAATGATCAATTTATTAATTATTGATTTTCCAAGATTAATTTCTAAGCTTTTATCCGTAAAATACACTGTGAATTGTGTATCAAAGTTCATGTAATTATAATTTTTATGATTTTTTTTAACTATCTTGGAGGAATTAGTGAGTTTTTATGTAGAAATGACTAAAATTCACTTGGATATGTGATTCATGTCTCAGAAAATTATAAATTAGATATGAAAATATCTATTATAGTTATTTTCGGTTTGAGGCAATGTAAACTAAAGCTTGGAAATTTGTTATAAAACTTAAAAGTTGTACATTTTGTAGTTACATTATGAGAATGATAATTCTTTGTAATTATGTTTCAGGTGTACTACTTTATGATGTTACGTGCTATAATACTAGCCATATCTATATTATTCAAGATTTATGTCTTTTTTTGAATTGTCATGGATGTGCACAAGTTTGTAATGCAGATATAAAAATATGATAATTGCGTTACAGTTATTTAAATTGAAGCGTGTATTTTGTCTAATAGTATTTAATAAGAAGCAAGTTATACAAAAATTAATGAAGTGGATTGTTCATATAAATTTCTGATAGAATAGAGTTCTTTCAGTATATAAAATTATGAAGTTTATGGATTACATACATGTTATATTGTATAAATTTTATGTTTCAAGCATATAATATATGTTTTCTTCATTAATGTAACCTAAATTTGAACGTTTATTTGGTTTGATAGGTATCAAAATTGTCAAAAAACTCAGCTTTGATTAATTGCCTAGCATATCATTAATTATAAAGTAATACATTATTTTAATAAATAAACTGATTTCTGTGGATATTACATGCAATATACAGTATTACATAACCGTGTAATATAAAG